CAGAGCTGTGATTTAGATGTTGGAGGCGTGTTTCACAAGTCGGAGTCAAGTGGCTGGGACCACTGGCAGTGGGCCAATTGGAACGAGCCGAGTGCCCTGATTGGCAGTCATGTTCTTCTGGTATACACATTGGCATACAGATGTCATATGGACGCTCCTCAGTTCAGCCAACTACTCGCACACACTCAAGCAGGCAGACACACACTCAGCTCATGGCTTCAAGTGTCACCCTTGTCCTGTGTGCACGGGTCTTCAGTGGACTCGCCTCATGAAGTTGTCTAGTACAAGTTAAGCATGGGTGGTGCTCTAGGACCTAGGAAAGTACTGTGGCGGCTTCTGTGTAATTTGCCCATTACCGGATCACGACAAAGCCAAGGGAAGGTTGCCACTGGCCCTGGCGTGGAACAGGCAGAAGGTCATGTTAGCGGGGGCTGATCAAACCCCATACTCTAATCCCAACAAAATTCAAAACCAGATGGAACCTCTCTGAGCAGGAGCTCGAGCAGATGGGTGTGCAGGCTTTGCCGGTCAAGGTTCGCCACGGACAAGCAAGCCTTATCAAGCCGTAGGCGAAAGATTACAAGGCAAATGCTAAACGAGCATACTGAGGTATCTAACCACATTGTAGCTTTGCGCCTGACAGCTCTGCATTCGAGTTGCTCGTCTTCCACCCAGTCAGAGTGGCTCCTTATCCTCAGCCCTAAACTGTGCTACCAACTCTGCAAGCCCCATTTGCCGAAACCCGGAATTCAAGATCTTAAACGCTGCAAATTCGATGTCTGAAGAAAGTGTCCTCAAGAGCTTATGGTTTCGGATGCAGATTTATGCCTTCTGAGAGCCCGAGATAGACACACTTCGGGGCTCTGCGTCGGAACTCCCCGTTTACACGTTTGAACTACTGGTAGAAAGCTTTCTGGTCTCGGGTGTAGAAACCATCATCGAGTATCATCGAGACAATTAAGTAGTGCTGGTGCTAGCATCTCTTGCAACATACACGCCCGAAAGAGTAAGGACGGACGGGACCGCTCGCAGCTAGCAACTGCAGCAGCTGCAACTTCGGCATGGATTTCAGGCTTTTCTCCCTACCTTCTCCCGAACGAAGGTGGACATGCGCAGCCTGGACGACGTCAAGGAGTGCGTGCGCCAGACGGTCATGAGCTTAGAGCATTGTCACTGCCCCTGGGGAGCTCAAGTCCGTGCACAGGGCTCATGGAAATCCCTCTTCAGGCTTCAGGGTTCAAGGTTAGGTAGGGTTAGGGTTTATAAACCCTAAACCCTAAACCCCTAAACCCTAAACCCTCAAAAGACAGGACTCGAGGCCTCTTGGGAGGCTTGGCTTAGGATGCCAAGGGGACTCCTGGAAGCTGAGACCTGGGACGTGCCGTCTTTGAACCTCCTATTTGGGTTTAGGGTTTAGGGTTTAGGGTTTTGGGTTTAGGGTTTTGGGTTTTGGGTTTTGGGTTTTTGGTTTAGGGTTTAGGGTTTAGGGTTTAGGGTTTTGGTTTAGGGTTTAAGGTTTAGGGTTGCTTTGTACATTCTTTTCAAAATGATCGAGTCACAGACCCAACAGTCCAAACAACCTGAAGAGTGAAGAAAGCTGTAGTAGACCTTACCGCCCAGAAGCTGGAGGTGAACAAGTTCGGTCGCATTGATATCCTCATCAACAATGCCAGCGCGCTGTGGTGGCAGAGGACAAAACCCGGTTCAGGCTATGCTGTGGATATTCAACATTCGGAAAAGATGCGTAACTGGCTTGCATTCTGGTGCTCCGGACAGTGTCCCGAGTCATGTATGTCGTTCCGAAGGATAGAGGACACACCCATGAACAAGTACGATCTCATCACGCAGATCAATACGCAGGGTGCCGAGATAAGTGCGCCGTCAGGCAAAGTCCAAGCTACGCTGAAGCGCATTTGTCTTCGTGACGACGGTGTCAGTATTTATCGCAGCCATCCCAGAACTAGCATAAATGTCCTAGGCGCCGGACCATTCATGCTAAACTTGAGCTGCTAAACGGAAGCGGCGTACGCGGCCTTGTTGTCATAGATATCCAAATAAGAGAATAATGTAGAGGCATCAGCCCCAGAAACACTATGACATTGTGCCATCCCAGGGTCTAAACGGCCCTTTTAGCTTCCAATCCAGGTACAATATTTGGGGGATCCTTGTGCCGACTAGTTCGGTCTTGGAGAGCCTTCAAATCGCTCAAAGCGAACAAAAAACCATCAATAGGTCTAAGAACCTATGAGATTCCTGGACCTCAATCCCTCAGCCCTGTGCACTTGAAAGATCCCTTTTCAGAAAGCCTTCTAAAATCCTTCTAAAACCGTTTTGGGGCCGTAAGGCGAGGGAGCTTCGCTTTGACACACCTGTGCCTGCCCATCATGGCGAAGAACGGGTGCGCGCGGTTTCGGGTGTATTCATGGTTGGGCTCATGCTGCAGCTAGGGCCGGGGCTGTGAATCGAAAGCCAGAAGTAGGACCGGCAGGATGAGGTTGCAGAGTTTACAGGATTTTGGATTCGGAGTGTGGGATCATTACGCATGCAGGTTCAGGACTTGGCAGCTAGGGGCTCGGTAAGTCCAGGGCTTCTTGTTGCGGGCTCGAGGCTCGAGGGTTGAGGCGCCTTCAGCCCCGCGGGAAAGCCCACATGTTTAAGGCCCGAGAACTACCCATAGGCCCCATAGTAGTTCCTTTTTGAAGTTCATAGTTAGAATCCTATAAGGTATTCCCAAAAAGGAACTACTATGGGGCCTATGGGTAAACGATCCCATGGGAATTCATGAAGGGCAGCATGAAGCCTTAAGCAGGTCTGCGCCCTTTACTTTCAGCTCCACCGTCCACAGTCGTGGATGGCGGCTGTATAGCGAGTATAGTGTACCTTCTCCCAACATAGAACCTACGTTCTTGTAGGGCCGTGTCTGTAGCCAACCAGACCTACTTGTTGGATCGAGGTTTGTTAATTCTATATTGAATTTTCTCATCTGTCCATATTAGATAGATAGATAGATAGATAGATAGATAGAAAGATAGAAAGATAGAAAG